TTTAATTATCTGAAAAGAAATTCTACTGTAGCAAGAGAAATTCTACCATAGCATAAATAAAATCCACCAGTGTGAATAATAAATATAAGCAGACAATAAAGTTGGTGAATTTTCCATTATTTTCAATGGAGTAAAGTCCTAAAAGAACTGTAAGATGCACAAAGGTATTTAAGTGTTGTGTCTCAGAACTTGGCTGAGACACTGAGGCTTAACTGAGGCTCCATAAGACTCTGGAGAGTCCTTGAACACATTAATGAATCTAAGAGGCTTAAGGGTTCTAGATACTCAGAAAATAAGATACCAGCTTTGAGAATTGTATGGTAGTGCTTGGTTTGCTTAAAAATTCTCAGGTGCCTTTTAAGATACTGTCAGAGGATACTAAGCCCAGATTCCTGACAGAAGATTTTCTCTAAATCTTTTTCCTGCTTTTTATCTCGGGGTACAAGCAGAAAGAAAAAAAAATAGATGGAGCGGAATTATCTGCTTCATTAAGATGACTGAATGTCACAGACATTTATCATTGTTTATGTATTTAATACTAATAAGTAGAACTTCTAAGAATTATCAAAGGACTTCATTTGTGTTGCAATATGAAACTAAGTAGGTCTGCTACATTAAATTAGACGTGAATTTAACTCCAATTTTATCACATTTTTTGCTTCATTTCTGATATGTTTTCTGATTGGCAATAAATTTCTGTTTTCCCTTATTCTGCTGTGAATTTCAGTATGTAACATTTTTCCTCTGGTGTTACAGGTCCATTATCTTTGAACAGCTTGAGATCATACTATTATGTCTACTTATGCTTATTTGCCTATACTGATCCATTTGAACTTATTATCATAATAGCTAGGCATTTCAGATATGCCTTAATGTTTAGATATGACTTGCTGACTACTCAGTTGCTTGTATGAACTGATGTAATGCTCATTATCTTAAAACTACCATAAACATTCAGAACACAAGCACATTTTTTTAGAAAATGAAGCTATGTCCTAAGTCCCAAGAAGATGTAGCTTATGCAAATATCCTCTTAAGTAAATATGTCTCTCTCTCTCCTCCTCACCATTAAAAAAAAAAACAAAAATTCAAACAAAAAAATCTCTTTAAATGATGACTGACCTAAATAAAGGCAAACTCAGCATAGACCTTCACCAAGTCAGAATGGAAGGGGTAAATCGAGAGGAAAAAACACTCAGACTGGCCACCAATCTCATCTTGAAATGACTGCACTGGAAGCAGAGACAAACTTTACTTTTTCTTTCCGGCCTACTAGTAGGTATTTGGGAATTCAGTGAAGAATTTGAAATAAGTTCCTGTCATGCTGAAAGTTTCAATTAGCAAACTAAATATAGTTAATTAATGATATTTGCAGTCCATGTCGTGCTAATTAAAACCAACTAATTTTTCTGTTATTATTTGCATATTGTTGTTTTGCAGCTATGCATTTGAAAGGACAACATTGCCTTGAGATGCCAGTTTTTTGGCATCACTCTGCGCTAATGAACAGAGTGAGACTGTATTCTTAAGCTGTATTGGAGCTTCTTGTTCTTCTGTTTCAAATAATTTACAACTGAACAATTATGAAATAGGAACTGCTTCATAGACTCTGTTGAAGCACTGTTTGTTTCTATAGTGACAAAGAAAACCTACTTCGTATACCCATTCTCATATTAAAAAATAAAGTCCCTGTAGTCTTTCCAGATCACAAATTAGTTGGGACTGAGAGAAAAAAACACTGAGGCATACTTAGAGGGGAAAACAAAAAATTCAGATGAGTTATCAGCAGAGCGAACTTGTGAGTGCAACTCTGGTGTCTCATCCTCTTGATTTTTCAAGTCACAACAGCAATGAAACATATCTATTAACTTATGTTAACCCTAATTATTTAGCCAACTTAAACCTCTTCATAGTCTAAATAAAGACATGTAAGAGAAAAGTAAGTAAATTTTTTGTAAAAAAAAATTTACAAGTCTAGTAACATATTCCATAGAGCAAGGCAACAACTGAATTTTTGTAGTTAATTACATTAAGGCTGTCTTAATCCATAAAGACCCTTCAATATAGTAGCTTGAAATCCTCAGAGCTGCATGAGCTTGCTCTATTGTTGTGGAGGTGGTTTTGAGCCACCATATTCCATGATTCCTAGTTAACTGGGAAATCTATTCAAAGTCTACTTTCTGTGTTATTGTCCTGTGCCTTTTGGACTGCTTTATTCAATTTCCCCACATAAATAAATATCTAAGCAAGAGCATTTAGCCAATGGTAAATGCTTTTATCGAAGCCTTTTCACCACAGTGAGTGACACTCGCCAATCGAGACAAATTCTAGTACATCACAAAATCCAGGGCTCAGTAAAGAAAGGTGAGGGTGTGAAAAAATATCAGGTTGTTAATTGAGTGGCTTCTGGATTATTCAAAGTTTTTAAACTATGTACAACAGGTGGGAAAGCATAACAAAATCCTTTAAAATAATAAATATAGTTTATGAACTTGCTATCAAAACAAACCACTGTGCAGATCTTTAAAAATGGAGAGAAAAAACTAAAATCATTTCAGTGACTTAGATGAAACCATAAAACTCTTTTGAGAAAGAAACCAGTCCTTTCCTGAGAGGAGGAACACACTGCTTGTTTGCGTTGGACAATAACGTCAAAAGATTCTGATCTTCTGAAACTCCATCATATTCCCTTAGGGTAGTTTTCACAATCATCACTTGCAACAATACTGCGTTTGTGTGGCTTCCCAGTGAGTCAAAGTGGCAGAGAGCTGACTGCAGATAAATAAATCCCTTGTTTTTCACCTGAGTCAGAGAGTTGATCTGACTTGGTGGATGTACAAGTGTGAGATCTCAGGAAGGGAGGAGGAGCACTATTTGTGGCAGCAGGCCAGTTTTATAGCTACTTAATCCAGTGATGAAAACACACCCTTTGAGTATATTTTGTTTCCTCTCTCCCATCTTCTTGAATTGTCTGTGGCAACTTGTAGGTCCTTGTCAGTTTTAACATTTAAGCCCCTTGTAAGAATAAGATTCTGTCATATTCCTGTTTCTCATCAGCTGTAAACATAGACTCAAGCTCCGAGGTCTATAAAGTCTCTCTCTTCTGAAAGCAATTGGATGTGTCAGCATTGAGACAAAATCTGTAATCAGTTTCCATCACCAATTAAAGTTAATCATGGTTTTGCATGAGAGTCAGACCAAGTTCTAGGTGGTTCTATGAGCCTACAGAAAAAAAGCAACATTATTCTACACCAATGAATTTCAAAAGTATATTTACTGTAATGGCAAAGAAAATGTATAAAATACTTTTGAAAATATTTGCCAGGGCTCTTCATTCATTCACCATGCCATTTCCTCAACTGAGAACTGCACTTGTCTGACTTATTAGTAATATCCTACCAAAGCACCATCTTTTTCCCTTCCCTAGCATGACTAATTATTTAAGTGGTGTATCCTTAAGGACGAGTTAGAAAGATGCCTGTGACTAACACAGGCTGAGATCACATAATGAAGGATATATTTACATCTCTTTGATCAAAGTAAATGGTATAATGAGGTAGCAAGACCTTTTTTCTCGCTAAAAGGGAGAATATATAAGGATGATATTGCTGACATTCAGATGTTTTAGGGAAAGTGTGATGTGGTGGGTAGTAGAGATGTATATAATGGGTTGTTCAGGTAAGTGGGTTCCAAGATTTATTACATACAAGGTGTCAGGTCCATACAGCACTGCAATTAGACATTAGTGATATCCACAAAGATGCTCAGGGTGCAGCTATAGGAAATATAGGGCAGGTATCTTCATCTCTGCTTTCAGCAGTCTACTATTCCTCTTCCCTTACATGGTCTCTGGAGCATAACAATGAGGGATTTTTCATGAAAACAGTAAAAAAAATCCCTCTTCTCACACCCTGAAACAAAAATCATATAGATGCTGTATTGACTCATATTGACTAAGAAAAAAAAAAAAAGAAAAAGAAAAAGAAAAAAGACCAGGAAAGAAGCTGAAAGAAGCAGAGGAGCAGTACCTTTTCTTTTGGTAGTGATTGACTTCGCTGTCTTGTGTAATTTCACTCTTAAGAATTATTTATAGAAAGTGTTTCCTCCCTTGGCATGGTTATTTTAAGAAATCATTCTACTTTACCAGAGACAATTCTACACAGCTCTATACTGATCTGGATGACACAGGCTGATTTTAATTGGGTTTTGGCTTTTTTTCTTGAGAGGTGTTTTAAAGCCAAGAGCCAGTTAATGATTTTGACCCATAAACACCCATAGCAATACAAGTTGTACTATGTTAAACTGTGTAAAAAAGTTTTTGTGGTTTAACTATGGTCGGCATGTAAATATCATGCAGCCACTTGCTTGCTCCTCACCCTCCCCACTGAAGAAGAGAACTGATAAAAAAAGAGTTAAGATAACAGTTTAATAATTTAAATAAAATAATATATACTAATAATACCACTAATAATAATGATAATGAAAAGGAGAGAGAGAGAGAGAGACAGGAATAAAACCCAGGAGAAACATCACTTGTTTCAGCACAGTTCAGTTGATCCCCCAGTTTATATACTGAGCATGGCATTCTGTGGTATAGAATATCCCTTTGGCCAGTTTGGGTCCAGTGACAAGGCCATGCTCCCTCCCTGCTTCTTGTGTAGCTCCTCACTGGCAGACCACGTGATACTGAAAAGTCCTTGACTTAGGGTCAGCACTACATAGTAACAGCCAAAACATGAGTGTATTATCAACATTATTCTCATACTGAATCCCAAACACAGCACTGTACCTGCTAAGAAGAAAATGAACTCTGCCCCAGCTGAAACCAGGACAGTTATTCTGTGCAGGACTGTCATGATGTCAGAGAGAGCAGGTAAAGGCTTTACTAGAGAAGAAATTGATTGCATAAGTATACCACTAAGTTCATCTGAGGAACTAAACGTTGTCAAATTGTCCTGAATGAACCTACCTCCCTTTTGTTTTCTGATAGTAGTAAGTCAGTCAAGACTAAATCTAAAAGAAAAGTAACGATACCATTATAAATTAGATCACATTGCACAAGCTTACTGTCATCGCTCAGCGTAATTAAAAGGTAAATCATTCTATTAATACTCTAGTTAAGATATTCAATAATAGATTCCTTTTTTATTTTTTTTTTACTTCCCCTCTGCTTCATGACCATGAAACAAAATAGACGGAAGCCGAAATATGATGTATCATCACCTAAAGAGACCTTCCATTCTACCTTGCACATACCTGTCTGCTGAAGGTAAGAGAGGTGGAAATGGTTCAGGAAAAAGAGAACTTTAGAAATATGAAAACAGAACTCAAACCCCAAGGAAATTAATAATGCTGGAGTGCTTTAGTTACTGAGAAAAAGAGAATTCCATTTGAAATTCTCTTGGTAAGCATGAGGAGGCTGACATGGTTTCCTATCCCATGTCCTGAATCACTTCCACAGTTTGCACTGATGGCTGAGGAAAGATGGCAAGATGTAGACATGCTAAAGAGCTGTACTTTCTAGGTAGAAATGGTATGTGATAGTTGTATGAACACACATACTTTAGTCAAAACAAACCATTTTAAAGATACATATGGAGGCTACATATGCCACATAAGGAGTGCCATAACTAAAATATACTAAAACATTTCTTTAATAATATTTATATTGGAATTAAAAGTGATAAAACAGGAGTAGACAAGTCTCTGGTATGGCAGAAGAGCTGGCACTATAATCAGATTTTAGAGAAACTAGGAACAAAGAATAACAGATACTCTGAAAGCTGCAGCCCACTGAAGCCTGTGAGAGAGGAAAATGCACTAAAGTTAGTCTAGGGAAAAAGTCAGTCAAAGGGCAAATCTGCATGGGAAATTGTAGGCAGACAGATTCTCATTTCATGCAAGATTTGAGCCAGCAGGACCGGGGCAGTGTGACAGCAATCCAAAAATCATGTAGCTGTTTTACTGAAGCAACACTAGCACACATCTCTGGGTCTTCTCAGGGTAAATTATTTCAGGATCAGCAATACACTGATGCTGTGATGGCCTTCATCACACTGACTGTTTTCCAACTACCTGCAATTTACCATTCAGACACAGATAAAGGCTAGTTGGACATATTTTTTTCTAGGGTAAGAATCAGACTGGACAGGGCAAACCCACGAGAGAACCTATATCTGGGACTCAGTTTTGGTACATTAGAATGGCAGTCTCACATGGAAACCCATGCAAGAAGATTGTAAGGTGAAGAAGTGCATACACTCCAACTGGTGTGATCAGGTATTTGAAATGTAATTACTTCTTCTGTATGAAAAATGCTTGATTCTGAATAGAAAGAACTTCAAATATGAATAACAATTAAACATATGATCTTTTCACTGGACCAAAGAAAAAAATACTGGTTTTATCAGTGCTCAAAATAATAGGGTTATATTCAAACTTGAGTCCAGAGCATAAAGCTCTGTTTGGCTAAATGGGGAGTAAGTTGAGGATTTTTATTCTGATGTTTCTTTAAAAGTGTCTTTCCTCCTTTTTTTGGTGTGGGTTTTTTTTTGTTTGCTTGTTTGTTTGTTTGACTGAGCTATGTGGTCTCTTTAAGTGTTTATCTATGGTTTCACTTTTTATAACTTTCCTTTCATGTTTTACTATTTCATGCAAAGTTTTAGGAGTTCGCAGCATAATGAAAAAAATGCAAATAATGCATTTGAACAGATTAATTGGATTAATTATTCACAAGGAAAAGTTGACCTTCTCTGCCAATAGCATTCACTCTTCTCCCTATCTCTTTCCCTTGGTTCCTGTCACATTAGATTTTGAAGTGAACAGTTACTAGAAGAACAGCAAATTCTAGAGCTTCTGGGATCCTGGTTTTAAAAGTTCATATTTTCTAGGTGTTCATACAAGCTTAGAAAGAGAGAAGATTGGACTGAAAAATACAGCATGTGTGTGGAAAATTGGACAGAAGAATGCGATAGGAAAAGAGAACAAAAGGAGAGAATACACAGCTACACTTGTTGCAATCCTCCCTTAAAGTAAATACTATACCTATATCAAATCATGTAAACCTGGACTGTATGCAAATCTGCTTCAGTGCAATTAATGTGAATCATCTAGCTGAGTAATAAAAGACAGATATTAATCATTTAATCCCAGTTTTCAGCCTCCAGTGACTGCAAATGTAACTATCTTCAGCTGGAAACCTCAACTAAACACAGATGTTGAGAAGCTAAACATTGCTCAGGAGGTTACTTTCAGCAAGTGATCTGTCACTGTCTGATATATATATATTCCTTTGTAAGAAAATCTGCTACCAGATGTGCCTATAAGTATGGCACACTGTCTTCTGATGACTGTACAGATGTCTGCTTCGAGGTAGGGAGCGTAAAAGGGTCCTATGCTAAATGCAAGCCATTATGTCACTCATTCCTTTAAATATTCTGATATATTAATCTGAAGTCCAAAGACAGAGAGTAAAAAGCTATGTATTTACATATAACAATTTACACTGCATAGGTCTTGAAACAGCCCTGTGTTGTTGTAACACCTGTATCTCAACACATGGCAAAAGGGAAGATAATTTTAACTGCTGAAACAAAGGTCAGATTCCCTTTCAAAATAAGACTGATGCAACAGACAGGCAGTTTATGAACTCAATTTGTTTTCCTGGTCTTAACTACACAGTTATTTACCATGGCTACAAAAAAACTTTTACTTCCTAGTATTGAGGAGTCGGAGAACACAGGTGCAGTGTTGCCTGACACTCCCATAAGTATCCCCAAAAGTAACCCAATGCAACATTATGTTCCACAAAATGGCCCCCAGAAAAAGCCACATGAACCACAGAAGGAAACCCAGTTTGTTTTCCCTGTGATTTTCAAAGCACACCTCAGGGGCAAGCCAGGAGGGAATGGCCTTCCCTACCTGATCAACGAACTGTAAAAACAGGATTATAATTTTATTGACTTTCAGAGGAAAAAAACTTGTAGCCTTTAACGTTCTCTCCATCAGATACCTGAGACATCTAGATCACTGCTAACAAACATTGGGCTAACAAGTACACAGCTTTTCAGCTGCATCTTTCAACTTTCAAGATTAATTGTCAACAGAAAGTGTGTAATTTTACCACAGTGAAAAGCTAGACTGGTTTTACCTGTTCTGGCAAAGAAGCAGTCTTAACCAGTCATAGATTTACTTGGGAGGGAGTATAACAGTGTTGTAGGAAAGAGGGAGAGAAATGTAAGCAAAAGTGGCTACTGCTTGCATTTCTACATCAGAGTCACGTCACACTGCTTTCTGCTCCTTTCTCAGATACAACGTCTGGCCTTATCCAACATTTATAGGGTAGTTTTTCAGCCTATTCACCATGAGGGAAAATAAGACTAAGGAGTGATTCTGATGATTGTGTAGATTTGTTGTCATTTGTTTCTGTGCCAATCTGGCAAAGTCAAGAGTAGTTAAAAACACTTTCTTGGGAATTAGGATATAAGTGCTTTAACTCCCCATAAAGAAAGAACTGAAGGATACGGGAACTCTCCTGTATCCTTAAACCATGAAGTTATTGTGTAAACGGGGTCACCTTTCCTTCTCTTGAGCATTGAATAAAAGTGGAGGGCCTCAAGATATTTGGACTCTGTCCCTAGAGGAATATATAAGTATGTCCTAAGAGCAGACTCCTCAACATGAATAAGCATGGAAAACATTGTCTGTGGATCCTAGATGTGAAATACATACAAAGATGGTTAGATCTGATAAAAGCGAATTAGTTCCAGAAAAATGTAGAAGACTGTTAGTTATTAAGTGGGTATAGTGAAGAAAACTAGGATGTTTACAGACTTTCCCTACCTAGAGGTTTTGAGAGAGAATTTTATTATAGCACTGATAAACTTAAATGCCTAAATTATGTGAACCTGTCCCTTGATCCCTTCAAGGAAATTCCTTTAAATTCTTTTCAATATGACCCAGAAACAGATTTTTGTGTATGTTGGCATATGACTGCTAAGGGTTGGGGTTTTTTTTCAATTCAGTTGTTCAAGCGCTATTTGATGAACAATGTATTTGCTAGATTTTGTCCATAGTTGTCAAATAAATTATTCAACAAATCATTTTTGCTTTATTTGATCAGCTATAACAGCCTTTCTGACTCTTCTACAATCTAGATATCTTTTAAATAAATAAGTATGCTTGTCTCCAGAGACTTCAGGAGCTGAACAGCTGTTTTCCATCACCATGGTAAAAGCCTCGAGGGTGATTCTGGATGAATACTATTATTCTTCCCTGGCATAGGACTGTGTATAAGAAGAACTGGAGAAACTTTTTGTAATTTAGGTACACGAGAATGGTAGGAAAAATGAGTTCTAAATTGGCCTTTGTTGGAAAAGAGGTAAGACCCTGAATCCTGGTTTAATATGAAGTAGGTAGATAACACCAAGGTGCCTCATTTCTTAAAATGGTCGAGGTGTGGAGTGGCAGGCAGACCTGAAAACTCAGGCATTGGAAACTGAGTCTTCAGGACAGTCGGCTCTTCAAGACAGGTGATACCACTTACTGAAGGAAGGAAATAAACTGTTTAAGGTACTCATGATTTATTTTTTAACAAGAAACATAAAACTTTGATAAAGAACCTTGAACAGTCTGTTTTAATGAAGTGTCTTCAATCCTAACAACCCACTTTACTATTTTTTACTGAATAAATGATAAAAATATGCAGCTGTGATTCCTAAACACTGATGTTCAGAGTTTTTTAAGATCAGCATGGCATGTCCAGACTGCCATTGTTGCTTACAAATGCTCACCTGCATAAAGAAGAAAATTTTCTATCACAGAAACCTCAGGGAAGCAGCTGACTGGAAATGAGAATATCATCATTATCTTCAAGTCCTGGAGGAGATATTGTTATAATAATAAAGGCTTATAATTGTTTTACCTAACTTGCAATTAAAATATCTTTTTTCTTAATAGAAAATTTGGATTAGTAGGGGAAAATCTGTGGAAGGATTCATACTTGATTCTTCATGGTTATCATTGACCTTGGGGTGGTACTTTACACTAAAGGTAAATTTATGCATAATTTATTTAGGGTTCATTTATTATTAATAGAAGTTTCAAGTGTGTTACAGGTGTATATGGCATGTGCCATGGATGATTATGAACACCTCAATAAAATTCATTTGCTGTCTGTTACTATAAATGATAAAGTTACGTGTCAAATTCTGCAGTCATCTCTTTAAAATAGTAATTTATTCACCACATGCTAAGTACATACTAGATGTTTATCAGTTATTTAGAAATTTATCTTTAAAATAAAGTTTATGCCCAGTTAGCAGCTGGACAAATGTCACATGAAAAAATACAGCATTACTGATCTTTTCTTTGAAAAATACATTTATTTAGGATTAACATATGATACTATAATTATCTTTTGAACTATATGTCCTTCATTTTGCTGTAAAATTTGTACTGATAAGTAGAACACTGTTAGAGAGAAGATCTGGTTGTGGTTATTTTCTGCTTAAGTGCTTCCTTAGGCACTGCTAGACTAATTGAAAAACTTGGGCACTGTGAGGACAGGGAACAAATATGTACGTGTTAACTGAAACAGCGTGACTTGCAATCTCACTGATTCCTTTTGGATAAAGCAAAGACATTTAGATTGATGAAAGAAGCATATATTTTCCTACAGTGAATAATGAAAAGACAGTCCTCTGAAGGAATCAGATTCTAGATAGGTCTTTTTCTGAAACAATATGGATCGATAATAGGTTTGGGGCATATGTGCCTGCATGCATATAGAGCTACAAAGTGCCATGTGATTGCAGCTGTCAGTTCTTCAACTCAAGAGTATGCTATTGAGGACAAAAATCTGGGAGCCACTTACAAACAGGTGAACTTTAGAAAAACAGATGAACTTTAGAATTAGAAAAGCAATATTGATATTACACATAACAATGACTTTAAGCAAAATTTTTATGATTATTTTGGGTGTTACCAGCTGGAAATCATAAAAGAAGGAGGACTAGTCATGACAGTAGATGATGGAAACTCTTGGTTAGATGAAAGGTATTGTAGACAGATGTGACTTTTGGATGTACAGGGTGAGATATTTCCTTGTGAGATCAGCCCTGCTCCACTACCAGAAATGGAGTGACTGCTTTTCAGTCACGAAGAGATAAAAATCATAAGGAACAGAACTGACTGTCTTGAACTGCATGGTAACTGTTCGATATTCTTTTCTTTCCTCTTAAGTAGATTCAGATTTATTAAGACTTTCTGTGTGAATTCATAATATCACATGCAGAGGTCTCCATTGTCTACACCTGAACCTGATGTCATCACCCTAGGGCACTTGTATAGCAAGAAGAGGAAAATAGCTGCTTTGAGCAGGAAATAGATTTGCCTTATTTTTGGTCTGTATTTAGAATGACTTGAACCCTACAGAGAGGAATGGTAGGAGACCTTGACTACTGGTTTGACAACTTACCTAGAAGAAGTCTCTCCCAGTCTTAATAGGGCAAGCATCACCTTGGCTCAACCACATCCCAAATCAGTGTTCTAAAGATTCTGCTAATGATTCTTGTAGAAAATCTAGTTTCCCTGGCCAGGACTACTGTCACCCTGGTGCAGAGCAGGGACAGATGCAGGCAGCTGCTTGTAGCAGAATCACAGAATCACAGATGGATAAGGTTGGAAGAGAACAAAGTGGGTTATCTGGTCCAACCTCCTTTCTCAAGCAGGGTCATCCCAGAGCACATTGCGCAGGATTGTGTCCTGATAGTTCTTGAATATCTCCAGTGAGGGAGACTCCACAACCTCTCTGGGCAACCTGTTCCAGTGCACAGGCACCTGCACAGTAAAGAAGTTCTTCCTCATATTCAGATGGAACTTCCTGTGTATCAGTTTTTGCTCACTACCTCTTGTCCTATTCCTTGGCACCGCTGAGAAGAACCTGGCTGCGTCCTCTTGACACTCTTCCTTCAGATACTTATAGACATTGATGAGGTCCCTCTCAGTTATCTCTTCTCAAGGCAAAACAGTTCCAGTGCCTCAGCCTTTCCTCATAACAGACATCCTCCAGGCTCTTAATCATCTTGGTTGTCCTCCACTGGACCAGCTTCAGGAGCTCTGTGTTTCTCTTGTACTAAGAAGCTCAGAACTGGACAGAATTCTCCAGATGAGGCCTCACTAGGGCTGAATAGAGAGGCGGGATCACCTTCCTCAACCTGTTGGCAATGCTCTTTCTAATGCACCCCAGGATACCATTGGCCTTCTTGACCACAAGGGCACATTGCTGTTTCATGGGCAGTTTATTGTCCACCAAGTCCCCCAGCTTCTTGTCCATAGAGCTGCTTTCCAGCCTGTACTGGTGCATGGGGTTATTCTTCCTAGGGTTCAGGACCCTGCATTTGCCTTTGTTAAATTTCAGACAGTTCTTCTCTGCCTGTCTCTCCAACATGTTGAAGTCCTGAAGGGCTGCACATTAACAAGACCAGTTCTCATGAATCCCTGACCCAGGAGACTACGATAAAGGAATGTAGGAAGGAAGGCATACCTTTGGTCAGGGAGATTTGGGTTAGAAAACACCTGGGCAAACTAGACATCCACAAGTCCATAGGCTCTGATGGGATTCATCCATGAGTGCTAAGAGAGTTGGTGGACACCATGACAAGGCCACTAACAATTATCATTGAAAGGTGATCAGGAGAGGTGCTGGAGGATAGTAAGAAAGCAGATGTCTTCAAAAAGGCCAAGAAGGAGGATCCAGGGACCTACCAGCCAGTCAGTCTCACTTCAATCCCTTGAAAGGTAATGGAGCATCTCATTCTGGAGGCCATCTCTATCCACATGGATGACAAGAAGGTGATCAGGAGTAGTCAGCATGTATTTATAGAAGGTAAATCATACTTGGCCAACTTGATTGCCTTGCACAACGAAACGACTGCCTGGATGGGTGAGGGGAGAACAGTGGATATTGTCTGCCTTGACTTTAGTGAGGCTTTCAATACTCTCTCTCTCGCAACATCATCATAGACAAACTCAGGAAGTGTGACTGGATGAGTGGACAGTGAGATGGAGTGAGAACTGGCTGAACGGCAGATCTCAGAGAGTTGTAATCAGTGACACAGGGTCTAGTTGGAGGCCTGTCACTAGTGGTGTCTCCTGAGGTTTAATACTGGGCCAAATATTGTTTAAGTTATTCATCAATGTCTTGGATTAATGGGTAGATGGTTCCTCAGCAAGTTCGCTGATGACACAAAGCTGGGAGGTTTTCCTGGCTTCTGAGAGACCCATAGACAGGTCTGCACATAGGACTCGGAGCATACAGTAAATTCCTGGCTACATTTTAAAGGCTTTTTTTTGATGTTTGCCTCATAACCTTCTTCTTCTTGCTCCTCTGCAGTGAACATTAACTTCAAATGGGCTAGGAATCCTTTAAACAATTAAACATCCAAGGGCCCTTTGTCATATAGTTAATTCATGACCTTCTAATCTGATTAAACCTGGTACTGAAGTTGGTACTTATTTGAATTATAACAGGAACATTAGCTTTGGCTGTCAGTAAAACTCTCATAGTGGCTCCAATTTGATTATTGTATGATAGATTCTTTTTATAATTTTTTTCTATTTGTTATAGGATATCATACACTTTTGTATAAAGTGTATGTAAAAATTAATATTAAACAGAGTAGCAATCCCCAAGCTTTGTTATTTATTTTGAAAACAACTGAAAAGACACCTCAGTGAAATATGACCTCTGTTAACAACCTATCATAAAGCAGTTGTCCTGCAGAAGATTTTGTGTGTATTAAATTCAGTACTTTATCCTGTAGTGGAATTCACTGCTTACCTATGGTACACAGCTTCAAATCTAATAGGTGCATAGGTTCTGAGTGACGAAGAAGAAGGAGGGAAAGCACCTTGTGGAAATTCTACAGAGAGAAAAGTCAATATTTTGTTTCCAATTTAATGTGTAAGTGACGCATAATTTAACCCAGACTTTAAGGTAATCAAGAAAAAAAATGTGTGTCATGCTCATGGTGATTTTTAGATAAAATAATTCTGAAGCATTTTTCTGAGGTATAGATTAAATGTTCATTACATAAATGTACTTCCTCATCACTCTGTTCTTTGTTCATTTAGATAAAGTTGTACACCATTTGGATGTCAAACAATTCCTGCTTATAAATAAATAATTCAACAATGAGGTACTGTTGTCCACGGTACATGAAAAATTGGAAAGAAATGTCAATAAATTGACAATATTAAATTTCAATCAACTTACTTTGATTGCATAATTAAGGGAACGAAAACACAAAGAGTTCCAAACAGTGCTAACATTTAGCGTGTTACAATCACACATTAAACTTTCATAATGTACCAAACATGTGCCCCAGAATGACAAAACATAAAACACTACCTCTATGACATCATAATATCAGTTTGGTTATTCAAACACTTTCCTTCATCTTTCATTTTATGGTTTTCAAAAGCTAGAAGTATCTTTGCATTGTACAAAATGCTTTTCTTCTTCTGAAACCATGTCAACCTTTGAGAAAATGGATAAACATTTTTTTAGGTTTTCACTGCTGGCTCTTCCATGGAAGCTGTTATTAACTGAGAGTCACTTTGTTCCTTGTCTTCCTATTTCTCACAGAAGAAGTATTTCCTGGAAACCAGATACTAGTTTTTCAGCAAAGATTTTTGAAAAAGGAAAAGACTTCTAGGTGTTCAATATTTCTTTGTTGAAAGATTGTTTTATTAGATTCACACAATAAATTTGGGATTATTTTTCTGAGGCTACAGAGAAATTAAAAGCTAAATAAACTCTTCCAACTGTATTCTTTGCCATGTTTATCTAATACAGAAAATAATACTCACTGATGATAAATGAAACAGTATCACTTAAAACAAATGAAAAAGTGAAGAAAAATAAAACCCCACAAATATATAGCAGAAGTAATAATGGAACAAGCCAGTCTTTGCTTACCAAACCCTGAAGATACCTCTGAGTTAATATTTAGATATTTACAATGAGAATATATATTTCCACATATGTTTTGTATTTTTAAAAATTATCTTATTAGTGTAATTTTTAATACAACCGAATGAGAAACAGATTTAGCTGAGTAACACTAAATATTCTATGTTTCACTTAAGCATTTATTAGGCTACTGCTAATTAGACTGGTGGTTTTCAACTATGATGGCACATGTTCCACTTTATAATACAATTAAGGATGCAATATGAATATTTCATGCTTTCATTAGCTTTGCTGTATACAGAAAGGATTGCATCTCCTACAAACAACAAAATCAAAAGATTCCACATATCCAACAGGGAAAAATCAAGTTTACATCTGTATTAATATAGGTTAAAGATTGGTTGAAGAAAATGCTGGAAACCAAACAAATTTTCTTTTATGCCAATGTTTCCATATGTGGAATGCAAATAAACATAAAGAAAGAGACAAATTAGAAGGAAAATGAAGAGAAACAAGCAACATAGATATAAGTTAGGGAGAAGGAAAGGAAGGAATGTTCAATTTGCATCCTTTTTGCCAGCCCCATACATTTATTTCTCTGGCTTCTTTGCAGGCATCAGGTCATAGGTAAGGCAGATTTGAAGACGCTATAATTCAAGAGGGTAGATAGCCTTGGCCTCTGATGGTGTCTCAAGTCAATTTGCCTGGTAGCTCAGGCAGAAAGTATCAGGATACTATTAAGTAAGCAAACACCAGTTTAAATTTGCACAGTATATGGCTCTTTGCAACTGGGTACTGAAAAAAAAAATCAGCAGGCGTGGAAGAAAAAATGTTTATAGAAAACTGTGAAACAATGGAAAAAGTGATTCTATGCACCTTTAAGGTTTCATTTGCAAAACAAAATAATAAAGGAAATGTTACCAAATATTGATAAATGTCTCATTTTCAAAATGTACCTGTGGTCTAAAAACCACAGGTCTGGAGTTAACATACCCAAGATGCAGTGAAACATACTGTAGGGATCATCTTATAACTGTGTTTTCATGAGACAGCTGAACTATTCAAAGAGTTAGCAGGCGCTCTCCTCCCATATTCTTCATCCTTTTACTCTGTCCTCATCCTCCTTTGCACTTCTGTTTTACTGCCTCTGCTTTCAATCAGATATTCCTTCCTTCATGCCAGCTAACTTATGTGTACTTACACAGTTGCTCATGTGCCAGTTCACGTATCCCTGTCTGTTACTGTTATAGTTTGTAGTGTGATCAGGGGAGCTCAGTGTAAGCAGCAGAAGCTTGCAGAGGGATAGGAATGGGAAGAAGGTTCTTTCTGTAGTTTTGACCTATGTATTTGGGTATAGCTGCTTCCTGAACTCTCAGCCTTGGCGATATATCTGTTCTGAAATTGTCTGAAATTGAAGCTTTGTCCAGGTGTTTGTGCTCTTATTAATTACTACTTGTGGTAATAAATTGTTTTTCAATGTTCTTTTTGCCTGATTCTTCAAAACGGGTTTTATAGCTTACTGAAGGAATACACAAAATGCTTGCTGCCCTAAGAGCCAGACTGGAAGGATTCGGAGAGCAATTACCATGCCATGAGTCACAGTCGAGGAGATGGCCAGCAGGGAGTCTGCAGGATCACTGATGGTAAGCCAGGGGTGCAAGGAACAGCACTACCGTGTATACTGGGTTTGGAGGCTGAGCTTTCCAAGCAATACACTTCTATTCAAACAGTCTGAGTTTGAAGGAAACCTATGTTTCATACATGAGTGTGAAAAGGACAGAAATCCAGAGAGCCATTACAGTTGTCTAGAGTAAGTAGGAAGAACTTCTCATATCCCAAAATCTTTCTATTATTTTGAGGGTACATATTTCCATAACAAGAGCTGTGATACGTATTTTCCCACTGATTTTAGACTCTGTAATTGTGCTTTTTCCAGGTGATACTTTTCCCTCTCTGCCATTTTTCACTAGTCATAGAATCATAGAATCAACTGGGTGGGAAAAGACCTCTGAGATGATCCTTTTGGAGCAGGTGAAAAAATATTACTCTCTCAGATTTCTCAAGATTTCTCAAGACTCTGCCATTTATAAAATAATTACAATAAATGAGGCAGAAAATGATAGTCAGAGGAGAAGGACACTGGCAATGAAATTATTGTTCTAATTTATGTATCTAATGGGCTTCTTTTTGTAGTTCAGCTGTCATTTAGAGAGTAGTTAAAATATCCTCTTTGTGTATTTGCTATCCATGCAAAATAATTCCTTTCTTGCCCTCTCCCTTTCTTGCCCTCTCCTTTTAAGTGGTGGCAATTAAAGAAACATTCTTAGGTGTTGGAGAATAGAGAAGTCTCAAAGTAGTCCTCAGCTGCAGCCATTGAGTTACACAGCCTCAACGCTTGTAAGATGGAGATTGACATTCCTGTGGCAGAAATTGGTCATCTAGTGATATCCAAAACTGATAGTGTCTAGATTTAATGAGAAGAAAGTCCAGGTTCTCTTTACTTTCCCGCTTTCTTTTTATGAGTTATGTTGATCAGGTCTGCATTGAATACTGAGGTACTCTCACATTGTATTTTCTTTAGATCTGTTGACTTTTATGGGTTAAAAATTATCCAAAATTAAGTTCAAAGGAAGTATTTAAAAAGTTTTCCCAAATGGAGGCACAAGACAAAGCTTATAAGGGTCAGGGAAGACAGAAAATTGAGGACCCAAGTGATCCACAATAAGTTTTTTCCAGAGTTTTAAAGAAGAGAGTCCTGGTGTTTCAACTCAAATATTACCTACCCATATTTTGAGTGCTATATTATTTTATCTAGTTTATTTATTGAGGGCAACCATGCTCTGTGTTAAACAACAAGAGTTGTTTTGGTTGTTTTCTGTAATAAGTATAAGCATTAAGAAGGAAAGAAAATATTCACCTCTTAAACCATCTTCAAGTCTTTATTCTCCTTTGACACATCTCTAGATATTGAGATGCTACTGAAATACAGTATGACTTTATATACATAAATGTTTAGAAAGTACACAATTAATTGGAACAATGGAAAGGGGGTTGATGCAGATGTGCTGCATCAAAGCACATGTTTCGATTTTACTAGGGGTAACTGATACTTCACGCTCAGTTTCCATTAGAACAGTCAAGTAAAGAATTTTTTATATATGGTCTTATCTAAAATCTTATCTTACATTTTTCAGTAGGAATAGTCTGGAGCACATATAATTGATCTTTTATTAGTAAGATATGGTGTCCCCATTCCATCATATGAAATCATCTCATTAGTATATTGTCATCAGAAGAGGTGCTTTCACATATTTCAAGCTGTTGTGAGCTGCTCACTGGTACTGCCATGTACTAGAATATTCTGAGTTGGAAGAGACCCACAAGGATCATTGAGTCCAAATCTTAAGTGAAGTGGCCCATGGAGGGATAAAACACACAACCTTGGTATTATTAGCACTATGCTCTAATCAACTGAGCTAATCTCAGGGTTTCAGACTAGAATAAATGGTTCCATGATTAACAGAAATGTACTTGAATTTGATGAAACAGCATTTCAAAAAATATATTGCAGGTAACACAGTACGTTGTGTTCTAACAACTGCAGAAACATCAGATTTATACAACTAGATTTGACAAGCAATTAACATGTTTGTGCTGCTGCTAAAATTGACTGTTGCTTAAGCACACAGCAGAGGCAAGTTGTCCTGTACCTATACTGATTCTCCTCTGTTACATACCAGCATAATCAGCATTGCAGTGGCGGACTATGTGCCTCAAATTCTCAATCTAATGAACAGGCTCTAATGTACATAATGTAGCTGAGAATACTACAATATCTTTGTCTTTTTCTCTCTGGCAATGTTGTCTTAGGAATATCTGCTTCAGCTGGCTTGGAAAGAAAGATAAAATTTTTTCAGCTTTTTCAGATGTAAAAAAAACGTGCAGTGG